CCTCCGACGATACTTCGATGCCGAAAGTCGTTTATTGACCTCATCTGCGTCAGGGTCATCATCTTGCGAGTCGATAAGTGAAATGAAAAATTAACTTTTATACAACGTTGCAATGCAGACTAAAGGTTATTTAAAATGGTCATAATCTTTGACTACTCATTAGTGCTATTCCTGGAACTTTATCATAAGGAAATAATCCAAAGTAAAGTCATATGCATGCAGATGCATATAACAATGGTAAACAAATTAAATTTCTAAGGAAATAACTGTGTGGAAGAGGCATTTAATGACATATGATCCAGTTATTAAAAACTTATAATTAGTATGGCTACAACCCAATTAAAACACTCATTACTGGGGCTGGCCACTTAGCTTAATCGCTTACAGCATGGTGCTGATAACACCAAGGTCCAGGGCTCGATCCCTGTACCAGCCAGCCGCCAAAAACAAACAAACAAACAAAAATACTCATTACAGAATCCAGAAACACTAGGTAAAAATTACATTTACAGAAATGACAAGAAGAGAAAGCAATCCCTCAATCAGAAAAGATGGATTTGCTAAAGGTGGCAGAATAATAGGTTATTTTTTTCCTTCAATTTTGATTTCTTAATGTTGATATATTTATGCAACTAATTGTATACAGATAAAGATGGACTTATCTAAAAGACACAAAGGTTGAAAACACACACCGATTTTCCACTAAGTCAGCATCATTCAACATTTGATATTGAACAAGACCTAACAAATACACACAGGTGCCTTTGGCTTAAGGGCAAAAACGAATTGTTCAAGTCTATATTTAAAAAAAAAAAAAAATCAGTGAATAAAATTTGCCAACCTCATTTGAAAAAATAGAAGCAGAAAAAAATTTTTTTTTAATTTACCATGCTCACTCTCAACCTGTACTATGATTTGTTACAAGTGCTGAAAAGTTCCTCCTGTCAACTTCTTCCCTTGATGATCTTCAACCTGGCATCCACTGCTCTATCATTTAACAGGCAACCATTCCCAAGGCCTTTATTTGTAGACAAAAGGCTTTTATTCACAATTCTATAACCTTAATTTTCAACACAATTACTTAAAGATGTTTCTCAACAATGTTGTAGTTATTTTATTAGTTTACTTTCCTCATAATATTTAGAGGTATGTCTCCCTTTTAAAGCAATGGACATCTTTTAAGACAGAATCCTATCTGCACTATTTTCCTTTCTCTGTGTTGTGCATTCCCGTGGCTCCATCACCTCAACTTCAGTGTAACAGACAGATCTTATTAATCCTGTCACTTTTATCCCTCTACTAATTCAAAGCATTTTTTTGTTCCTAGACATATGAAGGACAAAGCTTATTGCTTTAATGTTCTTGAAATAATAAAATTGTGAGTATGTCATATAATATATAATACATATATAAAGAGAAAGAAAGATTCTTAATTTTGCTGAAACCCCCAGAATATATTCAAATTCTTTCCCGAATGCTATGACACACCTAAAATGCACTTCAGCCTCTCAATGATAAGGTTACAGAAGTCTAAAGTAAAGGCTTGTATTATATTTTGGTAAGTTCTCCATCCTACCTGCCCTTACCCTCTACAAGAATCTGGCCTAGGCAACTGGAATTCTCTACTCACTCTCTCCTCTCAGGATACTTTCTTGGAAATAATGACAGTCTGCTAACATAAGCGATTAGTACTATAATAATAAAAGCATTAATAGTTATCATTTTGCATTTTACATGTATTAGCTCATTGTTTCTCACTATGCTGAAGAACAGTTTTTTGCCCCCAGTCTGTCAAGGATCAACACTTTTGTAAAATATATAATCCAACCAATTATTAGAAAAATGAAAGTAGACCAAAAGTACAACCCTAAATTTTTTTTTTCCTTTTTGTCTTTTTTACTGACCGGTAACGGGATCGCAACCCTCGGTGATTTTATCTGCTGAGCTTGATCAAAGTCCAAGATTTCCCGGATCAGACTTGACAATGATGCCACATCCTGCACAGCTCTCTCGTCCACAACCTCCTCTTCATCTACATCAGATCCAGCAGCTCCTCCAAAATCTAGCTCTGTGGTGGGAGAGGCTTGAGCTGTGTTTCTCTGTACTTTTTTCTGAGAACCCATCTTGAGCTCAAAAGGAGAGACAATATTCAGGTACGCTAGAGTCTCTTCCTTAAGAAACTGCATCCAGGCAAACAAGACCACACTGCCACGGTGCTCTTCCCACAGGCGGTCTAAGTGCCTGCACAGAGCAGATAGCTAGGAGAAAGAAAACACAAGAGGACGCTGGTGAGTTTGAAAAATGATCATGCTGCCAACTCCTGATTTCCCTTGAAATCTTTTAAACTTGTAAGTTAGGACTTTACACATCCTAACACTACTGTGATAAACTGGGCTACAAAACAGTACAAACATTTTTATCAGGGCACTTCGTAAACTCCTGAGCAACATGAGCCACAGAAGAAAATGAAGTTAGAAGCTGGAAGAAGTACATGAAAACAAGAGATGTGGCAAGACCCCATAAGATGGAGAAAAAGATTTACATTTGAACCGCTGAAATGGAAGACTTTTTCTATTCTCTATTTGTTCTCTGTTTTAGTATCCTTATATATGTTGTAAAGCACTAAGAAATCTAGCTCAAAAATGAACTGTTTATTTTCCTTGGGAAGTCCCAGCCCTGTAGGTACCCTGGAGTAATGGTTAAAAAAAGAACAGCTTTAAAATTAATTCTAACTCCCAGTCCTATCAAAAAGCAAACTCATCTCAAAGCATCACTAATTGAATCAAGCTCAGAGTCCTTATTTTTCAGATTTACAAGCTGTTTTTAACTAACCAGTCTGGGAGAACATCACATGCTGGTTAGTGGAAGGAAGTAGAATGATACCAACTCTGGACATAATTGCAAGCCCTTAACAAGGTTTGGTGCCATGGAGAAAGTTCACACTTCCTAGGCTAAGCAACCAGAGGTAAACTACTTCAACTTTTCCTCTTCAAAAGTGGTCTGCTCAACTTGAAAGGCAAATATGAGTGGATTTTCTATCAGAAATGTAACACATTTATTCATAAGCAGAGCTCAGGAATTCTAAGCAGCGTTTCTTTTTTAGGTAAACATCCACAAATAAGCCATCCAGATGGGCAACAAATTTTGTAAATTTAAATAACATGCAAAAAAGGACATCTTCTGTTCCTTCCTGTGTGGTGCTACCAACTAAACCCTGCACAGCCACTAACTTAAATACGTATTGATAAGTTACAATTGGACAACTGATACTTTTTCACATTTGCATAAATATGCTTATAAGATCAACCATGCTTTTCTACAGAATTCTGCTAAAATCCATAAAACGTAATACAGAAATGGAAGCACTGAGTCCTGTGGGAGCCATCAAGTCCAATGAAGAAGCCAAGTCAATGAAGAAGCCATTCTCCTCTATCCTCCTTTCTCTTCCAGTCCCTTCTCAAAAGAGGTTTGGGATGCACATAAAAGTGAAGGGTAGACAGTGAGATAGAGGAAAAGAGTAAGAGAGGGACCATGTGTTTCTCTGTGTGAGAGATATGGAAAATACCAGAAAACTAAAACTACTTCCTCCTATCCACCCACCCAATCAGTGAATGACAAGTCCATGTCAATTTCACTAGCAACAGATGAGATTCATAATTCCAAGGAATCAGGGGTAGCAACACACAACAATCGAACCAAGAAGGGACACAAGAGACCACTTAAAATGTCAATTATATGCATGAAAATTTGATAAAGAATTGCTACTGTAATTTTTTTTTTTTTTTTTTTTTTTGACCGGTAAGGGGATCGCAACCCTCAGCTTGGTGTCGTCCGCACCACACTCAGCCAGTGAGCGCCGGCCATCCCTATATAGGATCTGACCCATGGCCTCGGCGCTACCAGCGCCGCACTCTCCCAAGTGAGCCACGGGGCCGACCGTTGCTAGTATAATTTTAGCTATAAAAGATAAAATAACAGCCCTCCGCCCGTGCACTCCCCCTAAAAGCCAGTATCAAGTAGATGCTGATAGGCTGGAATTTGAAATTGCAACCACACATCCAGTTAATTTGTCTCTGCTTTGTGCGTGTGTGCCCATATGCATGGATGTAAAGGATCAAGAGCTCTCCGGAGAAATGGAAGTATAAATATCTAAATGTTTCAGTCAACTATCACTGATCTAAGTGTCAAACACTCTTGATATTCCTGGGCAAATAATCAACTGTCTTGAATCTACTGGCTCTGAAAAAATATTAGAATGTAAACGAATATTCCTTTTTATTCCTCATGTATTACCCTTTCTTTTAAGTATAATTTTATTTGTGAATGATAGGAGCTGGCCGGTTAGCTGAATTGGTTAGAGTAATTCCTTGTAACACCAAGGTCAAGGGTTCCAATCCCCCTACTGGCTAGCCATCAAAAAAAAATAAGAAAAAAATGTTTAAACCATATGCTCAATTCTGCAAAAGCAATCTCATCTAAAAGATTAGACTGATGGGAAGGGGAATGAAAACTTTATGATCAAAAAGGAAGATTTAATGAGCTGTTCCTTCACAGCAGGAGCTCTGAAAGCTTTTCCCTTAATATACATCAGTCTATCAATGTTCATTATAACTTCTAGAAAAGTAGCTGCTATTGATCTGTGACCTATCCCAGAATTCTCTGTCTTCAAGTTATAGTTATGCCTCAATCAAGAGTTGCAGTTATTACTAGAAAAGGATATATAACCCAGAGGAAATGAAGGCTATTATATGTCTTCAAGCCTTAATGAGATATCTACAGAAACTGTAGAATTTTGTATCTGTATACATTTATGTCTATGTGATAGCAGTCAATACATACTAGTTATTAATATACAGATTTTTAAAAAGAAAAGTATTTATATATTTATTCAGGAAATTTGCTAACTAACTACATTAGCTCAATTCTTAGCCCTAATTACAATTAAATGATTATTTAAGAAAAAAAATCTAATACCAATGTTTAAGGAAAATGAGAATGATCTCATAGTCTCCATTACAATAAAATAAATGGGAAAACAGCAGATCAGAAGAGAAACAATATACTTGACTAAAAATAACTCCCATATTTCATAATGATTGTTTTAATCAGTGCCATTCCTTTTTAAAACATCAAACATTTTCAATTCATTAACGTTAGAATTCATGAAGGCAAGGGAAAAAAAATTATAAAATCAAACCCATTTGTTCTTCATGCACCGATTTCTAGATCATCAAGGTAATCTTCAATTAAAGATGATTTTTTTTTTTTTTTTTAAAGATGACCGGTAAGGGGATCTTAACCCTTGACTTGGTGTTGTCAGCACCAGGCTCTCTCCCAAGTGAGCGAACCAACCATCCCTATATAGGGATCCAAACCCGTAGCCTTGGTGTTATCAGCACCGCACTCTCCCAAGTGAGCCACGGGTCAGCCCTTAAAGATGATTTTTTAAATTTCTAAAAATGGATAGGAGAAATTAAGTTTCGGGTCTAACCTGAGTTGGTGACAGCCATTTGCCACTAAGTGTGAATGAAGGTGGGGAGGTGGATGGATAATCTGGTGGCAGTTCGAAGTTCAGCACAAGTGGAGGCAGAAAGCAAATGGCGTATTCGAAGCCACTATTCCGGAGATACTCATTTGAATTGCCTGAACCAAAAACAAACATTAGAAAGGATCAGTTGGTCAACACTTGAGTGTCCATTAGTGTAGAGCAGTTCTCAAGAAAAACTAGACCCTTTAGCTGAGGGGATAAAAACCCTCCCCCCAAACACTTTCTATTCACTAATTTTAACTTCATAGTCACCACCTTCAAAAATAAATAAATAAATAAACAAATAATTGGGCCGAGCCCGTGGCGCACCCGGGAGAGTGCGGNAATCTAAATATCAAACAGTCTTGATATTCTTGGGCAAATAATGAACTGCCTTGACTCTACTGCCTCTGGCAAAGATAATAGAATATAAACAAATATTCCTTTTTATTCTACATGTATTACCCTTTTTAAAAATTTTATTTTATTTTTAAACCATAAGCTCAATTTTGTAAAAGCACTCTCATCGAAAACATTAGACTGGTGGGCAGGGTAATGAAAACTCTACAATCAAAAAGGAAAATCTGATGAGCTGTTCCTTGATGTCAGCAGCTCTGACAGCTTTTGCCTTAATACACATCAGTCTATCAATCTTCAATACACATTGTAGAAAAGCAGCTGGTATTGACCCATGACCTATCCCAGAATACCTTAGCTTCAAGTCATAGTTATGTCTCAATCAAGAGTTGCAGTTGTTATTAGAAAAGGGTATATAACCCAGAGGAAATGAAGGCTCTTAATATAAGGTCTCAAGACTGAATGACGTATCTACAGAAACTGTACAATTTTGTATTTGTGTACATTTATGTCTATGTGACAGCAGTCAACACATATAAGTTATTAATATACGGATTTTTAAAAAGAAAAGTATTTATATACTTATTCAGGAAATTTGATGATTATAGCTACATTAGCTCAATTTTTAGCCCTAATTGCAATTAAATCATTTCTTTAACGTATAAAAAAAATCTAATACCAACATCTAAGAAAAACCAGGAAAACTTCATAGTCTCCATTACAATAGATTAAATGGGAAAACAGCAGATCAAGAAAAGAAACAATA